GCAAAGTAGCGAAGGGGCTATAGTGACAACAGAAGTGGTGCACAATGTGACAGCTACCAGCGAAGAAAAATGTGAATGCTTCGCCATTCAATTACGAAATATTTCCGTCTGGTAGAAAGGTCACCGAAATCCGTGAACGACGGCTGAGGGAACGGTGAACCTGATGACGTCTTGCAGTTCATGAAACTGTGGAGAAAGAGGAAGAGAACCTACCGTATGACACAAGTCTTCCGTGTAATATGGCGTCAGATTCTTACTGGGTGTTTACATTAATTCTGCACGAGTTAAGCCCGTGAATAATATTTTAATTCTTTACAGGAATCGAAATCCAGTCTTCTATCTTTCATGTTGTTGACTGGAGTAGCCCTCTCAAGTTTTGTATACAACATGTAGGTCTATTTTACGCACTGAAAGTGAGCACTGAGGAAGTAATTTAAGAAGTTCATCAATGTTTCAGATGCAGGAAGCGAAAACGACTTCAGAGCTACTTACTTCATCCATTCCTGTTATAACCTACGGTCCTGAGGTTGTTTATTTTTATTTTGGTCATTTTGCAGACAGTAGAATTCCTTAAACGAGTGATCAGCTCGTCGCAAGGCCTCTACCTAAACACAGGACAACACAGAGACAGAATAAACACATCCAAACATCCATGCCTTGTATGGGATTAGAACCCACGATCCCGGCTTCAGAGCGAGCGAAGACAGTACATGCCTTAGATCGCTCGGCTGCCCTGACCGGCGTACTCGTATGTTCTGCTGGCAGCAGGAACGCTGTTAGGGGTTGCATTATTTCTGGCAGAGCATATGAACAGATTCCCGTAAAAAATACACGACTCTTTCGGTTGGATACGTAACTCTCATTGCTATTTGACACACCTACTCCAGGTGTGTGAACACCCCACTACTTCTACAAGTAGAAGGGCGTGCCGAAAATTCCTTTCATAACACTTAACTTGGGAAGACGAACGTTTGTAATTTGGACATTCAAATAGAGTGAAAATGTGCCACGTCATTATATGTGATGTACGTGTACCTATTCATACTAGTAGAGGGAAAATAACTCGTTTCAGCGTTAGTGGTCAACTTCTGTAATATTTAAACTGAGAGGCAATCAGGACTTTCTGAAATGTTCCCAAGGACAGTTAACAATCGAAACGTCTAAGATGACAGTAAAGTAAAACAAGTAGGTCCTGTAGTTCTAGTGTTTGCAAGAGTAGCTGTCTGCCTCGGTGTTATTTAAATATGAAGGCAGTCAAGCGGACGAAAATCCGTTCACTTTTCAGGCACAGAGGAAAATTTGGACGCCTGATTAGAGGAACTCACACTATACTAAAATCAGTACATGACGTCTGATGGATGTAAGTTTGTCGCCCTCGGAAATAAAGAGCTACAATTCCACTTTTTTTCGTCTGTCGCTTGAATGCGTTGAATCCCTTGAAAACAAAGTCTCCCGTTTGTGTGTGCAAAATCTGATGCTCGGTGTTTTCTGTTTGAAAAGCACAGCCAGGCATTCCTAAAACGAAACAGCCATCTGAAAAGAGTGTCTTTCAAGGGATTATGTTAAAAAATTCTGAAACCCGCGAGAGAAATCTAATCATACTGTCTCGAAATTACTGGTTAGCGTGACTAATAATGATGGGTTATGGATATGATGAAGAGATTTATTGGATACTCACAAGTCGTAACTGCAAATAATTATGCCACTCTAAAGATTATTGTAACTGTAACACATAAAATAAAAAATCTTCAGCGTCTTCAGCGTATGCTTGCTTAGTCGTTGCTTACTAACGAATCTTCGTCGGTTAACACTTCAGCTGTTGAATCCTCAAATACTGTCTGAGTCTGAGTCTCGTTTTACGACAGTCGGCCAGTCTCTCTTGGCTTAAAGCACCCATCCGGGGCTTGCGACCAGATCTTTATTATTTGACAGTTACGGTCTTGTTTTTGTGGGCGCCCTCTCTGACGAGAGGACGGGTCTGTCTTTAGTATATGCTGTCTCCTCAAATACAGACGAATGCTTGACCTTTTATAAATGACGGAGAACCTAATAGACATCACCGCCTCCAAGGGTTACATTATTATCATTATATTATTATTATTATTATTGGAGGGGGTGGGTTTCCCCATGCACCGCGACTAATAGTCTATTGTACGTCCCCCTTTGATATTCTACCAGTCGCCATACCCTTCCGATACTGGTGCTCGCTATCAGCCCCGTTCAGCCAGCGAGGCTGGCAGTGGTACCCGATACTTCCCCATGTACCGGAGGCATTGGAAACTACTTGGGCGGGAAACTTTGCCTAATTTTGCTCAGAGGTCTCCTAGAGACATGAGGATCTTTTACGTGCCGTAAATCTACGACACGGGACCCACGGCTTAAAGTCCCTCCCGGAGGACTTGCTCCCTGAATTTTTCCGCCCATAAAAATTCCACGACCTCCGCCGGGTTTGAACGCGCGTACCTTGAGCCATGAGGTGGGAACGTTACCCCTAGATTACGGAGGCCGCTTAAGGGTTACATTACTGCTCTTCATGAGCGCGTTGTCTCCGAATCTTGTCTTTGATTTATATAAGCTTATGCATTGCAGCGGAAACGTGCTCTAGCCAGCCGTTGTGTAGCAGCGGACGGCTCTGCTGTGCTTCTCTTGCTGCACACTTCCGGCGTTCAGGCATCATGTCACAATATAACTCACAGCTTGACAGCCGCTTGCTACTGTACAACGCACAGTCTCCCCCCACTGGTTTGTAGAATAGTACCTACAATCATAACATTATTACAAACTAACTGCGAAATAAACAACTTCTCTCGTTGTTTCTTGTTTCATATAACGATGGTTTCTTAGTTGCATAGGTTGCTAGCGACAAATGGCGTGGCGTGAGATGACTGTCAACTATCAGTGGGAGAAAACTGGGCGTAAGCGATACTATCACAGAACTTATCAGCAGGAACATTGTGCAAATACGAAAATCTCAGGATAGCTGTCTTCGGGTCAGGAATCGAACATGGAACGAGGCGGCTACTAACCACTCAACTACAGAATTCGGTAAATGGCCAGTTCGATAGTGCAAACTGAGGTGCGCGGCCACTTAAACTGATGGTACGGCTTTAATTGTTAGGGTGGTTACTAGGAATGCATTTGAATCAAGTATCCTAACATTAAATAACTGTTCTGTACTACCCATCTTTCTGACAAGTGGGTAATATCGACCGCAGATCTTCTTTTTTTTTTGCAGCCCGTATTAAAGTTGATTTTGGAAATATGTTAAATAAAATAACGTTAATAAAACTGGGAGCCTTGGTCTGAAGATAGCACATTAAACAGGCCCATTTGGGGTTAATTATCACCATTTAAGAGTCACTTCGCTGAAGTGATTGCTTCCTTCCCTCCTTCCCCCAGACACTTAGCCACCGAGCTGCCTGTCTTCACGAAATGAGCAAGGGGCTTTTAGACTGGAAAAGTTGCTGTAAGGGACCCTGAAGATATGAATAATGGACAAAAGATATGTAATGTACCTCACAAAGTAAGGCGAATAAACTAATAGTTTAGAATGTTAACAGAAGTCTACATTGTAAAGCCCGTATTAAATATTGTCCAATGAGATCATACGTAACACAAAACCTCTTTTCCCTAGGGTTGCCATCAGCTTTGGATTTAAGGGTCCATAGCATTAAAAATCACTCCTTTCATCAGCAGGGACATTTGCTATCTCTGTGTTCATGCCCTGCAATTTTTACAGGCTTTCAGCACATGTGTTCATGGAGAAATAATGCCTATGTTTACAATGCTTGATGAGGATAGCGAATGATCACTGTGTACATCCACGTAGTGCTCCAGTGGAAGCCCAGTAATTTCTGTGCCCTTCTGCTGTGTTGTTGTTTATGTGAGCTGTAACCACAACCTTACTGAAGCCATGGTTAACTGAAAGACACAAGTTTGAAAGGGGGAGGGGGCAGTAGCAGTTTTTCATGTGCCCGGAACAAATGAAATTCCATCTCTTTAATGATGTTACTTGCATACATTACCATAAAAATTATGTGCTGCAGTGTTCTGTTTCTGTGCATAATTTCTTTTATTGTAGTGCCGAGTTATTTGCTTGGAAGTTTGTTACATGTAACCTCCAAATACTTGTATGATTCCCATACCACTGCCAGGTGGCAGTGACATTGCTAATAGCATGCATATTTGGTGAAATGATGATTTAATGTGTATATAAGAGTGGATTAGTGGAGGAGTCATATGTGGAAACTGTAGTAGAAACGGGAATTGTTTACTTCAAAGCCATGGTGCACAGCTGGAGAATGATGGTCAGTAAATGTGACAAGAGAGAGAGGGGTGCAGTATGCATAGGATGAATGGGAAATATTTCTTCCAGTAGTATCTGACGTCATTCAGAATATTGTATGGCTGTGTATTAATATGAGGGAAGATTAGAACATACAAGGGTGAAAAATGGAGTGTATAATGGTGATAATATGGAAATAATAACTATTAATGAAATTTATGGTGTTTGTCAATATTTGTTTTGTCAATGAAGGAGAAACCACTCAACTACTGAGTGTTACAGTAGGTCAAGCTGTGACTGAGAGTCTATCTCTGTGTAGTGACAAACTAGGTAATTCCCACTGTGATGCTACATTGCCAGTTGAAGAAAAAGAGAGGTCGGTTCTTCTAATGAATTTTCTTTTTATAAACAAGTCTTGGTGAAAACATTTTGTCTAGATAGGACCAGCATGTTGTTATGTTGTCATGTTTAGTGTCTTTTATGATTGTAACAGTCTTTCCAAAACTTTTCCAAGGTACTGAGATCAAGTGTTTTTGATGAAGTATGTTTTCAGCAATTCCCCATTGATATTTAAATTGGGTTTATGCTAGTAACTATATCATTTTGTAGCAAAGATATTATAATTCTGGTTAAATATCAGTAATTGTAATCTGCTTTGTAATGAAAGTGGACTTCCAGAGTTATTTTCATCTCATGTAATATGATTGTTTGTTAGGTCCTGCAGATCCTCCAGCAGGCAAACCCTCAGTGTCTGGTAGTGGCAGCTCTGTGACTGTGGTGTGGTGCAGTGCCCCATATGATGGAGGCTGTATGGTGACAGGCTACTGTGTAGAAATGAGGAGGAAACAGGACACAGAATGGCAGGTAGTGACAGACAGGTAGGTACAGGATAACAGGGCAAGTGGTAATCAACTTGTAAAGTAATAATGCGTCATATATATCTCAGGTTATGTGACTGTAAAACACAGAAGAATGTTACATTAAGAGGGGACCCAAGTGTAGGACCACAGCATCTCTCTTCATTTCTAATACACGTGAAAAAGCTAACGTTCCTAATTTTTTTAAAACAATTTAGTCATAATGATTGCAGTGTTATTTTATCTGTCAGCATCACAGAAGATAAGTAATATTTAAAAATGAGTGTGTAGTAACATTTTGTTTGTTGCTAGTTCTAGGTAAATTTGTCATTACTAGGGACCGGATGTTTATGCCCTAATAATCCCTTAAATATGTATGCATTTATGCATGAAAAACTTCCGAAATATGCACATAAAAATTTATACCAAATATTAAAATTAATTTTACAATATTTTAAGACCAACAAATCAATATTTAAGTTCATTTTATGTAATCACCGAATGATTCACTTGCAACGAAAAGCTATACTTAAATAGAAATCATGCAACAAAGCCAACATATTTCGTTACAAATTTAAAAAGCCAATGGTACTCACATTTAGCTCTCTGAACTTTCAACTTCTCTTCTGTTGCAGTTTACCATTACTAATTGTTTTAGGTTTTCCATATTTAGTCACCTCCTGTTGTCTTGTAAGATGTCCTTATAGCGGGAAAAACTTTCCACCTCACAGGAACTTAGGGGCGCATGTACAAAAACCGCTATTTGCTCCACTGTTAGTGATTTTTTACCTGGCAGTTCAGTACGTTTACCAACTAAAATTTCTTCAATTTCACAAATTTGTTCATATGTTGGATTTTTTGAAAGAATGCTCTGTACCTTTTCCTTTACTACTTCACCAACTCTTCCAGGAACCGAATTCAATTTGGAAACAGTGGTTTTGAACACACTTAACATCTGATACAAAGTAGTATTGCTATTGCTTGCCTCCAGTGAGGAAAGATTAGTTTCTTGTTCTGCGTTTTTTAGTACATCTTGAGCAATTTGAATTGATTCTGTGCTTTTGGGATCAAATGTATTCACGACATTTCTAACTGTTTGTAAATGTTCGGTATAATAACTTGCTGTGCACATCCATGTATCCCAGCGCATTACAATTGGTTCTGTCAGAAGTGGAACGCTCGGTGCTACTGCTTTAAAGGCTTCTTTTCTGTATGGCACTTTAACAAATACCTTCTTCACAGAAGACAACTTGTCAACAAGCAGAAAATTTGCACGAATTGTTTCTGCAACACAGTGCAACCCATGGGCAAGGCAAGTCAAACGTGTCATATATGGAAATATAACTTTAAGAGCAGTACCGGCTTTCATCATATAACTTGCGGCATCAGTCACAAAGAGCAATACTCGCTCATACTGAATGCCATTCGGCCATAGTAAATTCATGGAATTGATAAAAATTCAGAAACTGCGGAGCTATTTGTGGTTTAAAATTTCTCTACCACAAGAAGATATGGGGTAGATTGTTCATTCTTACTAAGGGATCCAACTATACAATTTGCAATAAACCGTCCCTCACAATCTTGTGTTTCGTCGATAATACCCACACAAAATTATCTTGAATCTTATCTCTAATGCTTTCAATTGTAAGATCGTAACACTGCTTCACGTAATTTTTGTGCACAGTAGATTCACCTGGCACTTTGCACTGTGTATATTTCTCTATGAAGTTTCTCAGAGTAGGACTGGTTGGTTTCCACAGCGGAATATCTGCCGCTAAAAAGGCTTCGCATAAATCAAAGGAAAACTCTGAAAAACTAATTAGAAAATTCACTAAGCAATTTTTGAACAGGAGCACTTTTTGTGGATTTAATTTTAATAGTCTGTTTGTGTATATTAGTGTTCAAGTGCTGAAGCACTTGAAAGCGTTTTTCACAAGCAACAGTTTTCTCACACACTCGACAATAAAGAATTTTGTTATCCGTACTTATCATCTCTCCATCAAACTCCCACTGATACAGCTGTAATTTAGTTTTCTGACTTACTTTCACTTTCGCCATGACTACAGAAAGCTAAACATACTTGACTACAGACTAGTCACCACTAGTGTGAATGGCCCCCAGCTTCAAATGAAGAAGCGTAACGAACCTCATGGAGACTTCGGAAATAAATAAGTGAAGTCCCTTATCGGTTGAATAGTATTACGTTGATAGCGGCTACATGTGAACGCTTCCGACTAATCTCTTCGCGGCCACNAAAACTAATTAGAAAATTCACTAAGCAATTTTTGAACAGGAGCACTTTTTGTGGATTTAATTTTAATAGTCTGTTTGTGTATATTAGTGTTCAAGTGCTGAAGCACTTGAAAGCGTTTTTCACAAGCAACAGTTTTCTCACACACTCGACAATAAAGAATTTTGTTATCCGTACTTATCATCTCTCCATCAAACTCCCACTGATACAGCTGTAATTTAGTTTTCTGACTTACTTTCACTTTCGCCATGACTACAGAAAGCTAAACATACTTGACTACAGACTAGTCACCACTAGTGTGAATGGCCCCCAGCTTCAAATGAAGAAGCGTAACGAACCTCATGGAGACTTCGGAAATAAATAAGTGAAGTCCCTTATCGGTTGAATAGTATTACGTTGATAGCGGCTACATGTGAACGCTTCCGACTAATCTCTTCGCGGCCACTTTGAGGGTACGCGGATGAGGCAAGTTACGAGTAGAGGGATCAGGGAAGTCCTGTCCTGGGTATTGCATCAGAAACATGAATCATGACGAAATGTTGAGTCAACTATGCAACATATTCTAATACGGAAAAGAAAAATTGTATACACACGACCATGATAGAAAATTTGAACATAAAATTAAAAAATATATATGATAAATATTTTAAAAAGGAAATATGCAGTATAAATAGAGATCTTCGAAAATATGTTGCTTATTCATAAAACAGGCAAAATACGCATTTATATCCACCATCGAACCATGTCCAAAATTTAAGAAATGAAGTAATTCATACATATATCCAAACGAGCATACTTTCTGGTTGCAAGAAAGAAATATGCATTTGCATTAAAATCCGGTCCATAGTCATTACTAATATAACTGATAACAGGAGGTCTACTCTTATATTCATAATGCAAAATATTAATTTTTGCTATTATCTTATTTTTTGTTACTCACAAGCAGTGAAATATTGGAATTTAAATATTACAATGAATTGGAAAGCCCTTATGTTATATTATGTCCCTCCCCATTGGATGTGAATATTTTGTCTTCTTGAATGGGTTTCCATTACAGATGCTGACTTCTAGATAATGGTATTACACTGTACATAACATAAGTATTTTTGTATGTGTGACCCAAATCATGAATCAGAAATATGTTACCCAACAGTATTTTACTCTTAAGGTTGACATTTCTTTTTCTGTCTTTCTTTTTTGTTTGTTTTCTTCCTTCCTTCCTTTTTCATTCTGACCTTTTACCTCTACTCTGTTTGAAATATTCTGCACATATTTTATTGTTCTGCGCAAGTCTTTCCCACTCTTGACAGGATTGACTTCTTCCTTCTGTAATGAATTCCAGAATACATAATATGGAACAGAATTATGTGAATGGAAATACATAAATATTCAAGCAGATTATTTGATGTTATATTCTAATATTGTCTTTTTGTTTTCACAATGATCAGTTTCACAGTTTCTGTGTAGTGAGAGGTAATTTTCATGTAATGCAAAGAAGTCTTCTTGGGCATTCAACCATGTAAATATGTTATTCCACATTGAGATGGTTGATCACCCATGAAGACTTCAGTTCATTCAGTCACCACAAAACCTTCAAATCTTAAATTATTTTTCATTATTTTCCAATCTGTGTTGCTGGACAAGAGAACTTTTCTTAATAAAAGAGGTTCCTTTTTATTCCAACTTTCATTCTTGATAGTACAGTGGTCATCTGTATGCATATAATATATACAACTTATGGTGTAATTAGGGATGTAATATTATTTGTTTTCCAGGTGTCATTCCTTGTCATATGTGGTTCCTGGTTTGACTCCTGGTGAGCAGTATGTGTTCAGAGTTCGTGCAGAGAATGCCCATGGTTTGAGTGAGGCGAGTATGGAATCAGAGCCTTTCCAGCTGTGTTCAGATGGTAGGTATTCTGAGAGCAGAATATAGAATTTCAGGTTCTATTAATAGTAAGGCTAATGCAAATGTCTGGAAGTGCAAACAAAAACTCAGAGAACACATGGTAGAGAAATCTTAAGATTGTACAAGTGATATGGACAGAGGCATTTTGAACACCAGTGCACAGCTTTCAAAGCTTTGCTGAAGAGTACAGTATGGAATTCACATTAAATATCTTCCACAGTCTGCATGGAAATGATCAGATTTGACAAGAGGCAGCTAACTCTGTTACTATACTCACCCAGTGAAGGAAAGACCCTTAACTAATAGTCTTTCAACTAATCAAGAAATTGCCCACCTGTTATCAAATCCAAAAGTCCATTACCATGTTCACAAGATCCTGCCAGTAGTCCCTATCTTGAGCTACATGTTTCCTGCCCTCAACCTCCCAAACTATTTCTTCAAGATCCATCTATCCTTGGTCTTCCAAGATACACCATTCTTTCAGGATTTCTAACCAAAATGTTGTATGTATTTCCTGCCCTTCCCACATGTGCTACATGACTTGATCATCTCATTAATTCTGATTTGTCATTCTGATGATATTTAATGAAGGTAATAAATCATGGAGCTCCCCATAAGTAATTTCTTCAGATTGTTACTTCCTCTTTCTTAGGTGCAAGTATGCTCCTCAGGCACCCAATGTAGATTCCTCCCTTAATGTGGGGGAGCAAGTGTTCACACATGTACAAAATAAGTTTTTAAATCTGTTAGTACATGTTTATTTAGGAAGAAGAAAATTCTGAACTAAATGACAGCAAGAATTATCAGCTCTTAACTTCTCTCTTTCCTAAATATCTGAGCACTGCTACAGTTTTTAAGGATTTGTTAGCTGTATTTGTAATATGATTATGTTCTGTAGCCTGGTGATGAGGCATAACATATAATTAGTTTTCAATACATTTACTCTTTGATGACCTCCATACTAGTGCCTAATAGAACTGCCACATTTCTTTTCATAATTGCTTTCTTCCAAAAAATCATTGCTATAATAGACTCAAAGCTAATCTGACATGGACCGACAGGGACTGTGAAGAGTAACATCCATACTGTGAATTTCTCAGGGAAGAGTCCATAACATTCCAGTATTCATTTATAGTATCAAGTGGCCTTGTGGGTGTGACTAAGGAACTCAATTCTAAGACCAAATGTCTCTGGCTTGAGACCATCTAGATTCAGTGGAAATTTTCTGCATATCTTTCCCATTTCATTTCTGTCATAGTTAGAACCTTATGAATGTGAGTTATATGAGACCTGACAAACAGACTGATTACAGAAAAATAAATATATTGTCTCAGATATTAATGTGTCTGATCACCTTCAGACTGTTTGCTTCAAAACTTTATACACCCATTCCATTGTCTCTGCTATACCTGAAATTGTTCCTGAAGTAGTTCCCTCCCCCTAGTGGGGTGGGACCAAGTCCCTTGTACTGCAGCCACTTCTGGCCTATTGTACCAGCCCCAGATGATAGGTGAGGGTGATTGTGGAGCAGTTAGTGGAATGAAGATTGGCAGGGGAAACCGAAGTACTCTTAGAAAACCTGCCCCAACGCCACTTTGTCCACCACAATTCCCACTTGACCAGACCTGGGATCGAACCCGGGCCACCGCCGTGGGAAGCCAGCGACTAATCGCTTGAGCTATGGCATGGCCATTCCTGAAGTTAATTGCTAAAAGCTCCTTCAGTAGTGTTGTGTCATGTGTCTCTGTCTTCAGGTGATCCATAACTAGGCCATTTTTGATAAGACTTTTGGATTTCAGAAAAGAAAGTCACACAAGGCCAAATCAGCACTAGAATTTATATTTTGGATATTTTGCTTTAGTGAAATTGCTCTGTGGGCAAATGCATTGTTGTGATGCAGAATCCACTAGTCTAGCAAACATTTTGCCTTTTTCAAGTAATCCATTGCCGAAAGATGCTGAACCTACAAAAAAAATGCTTGGTTGATGGTTTGTTTTGTAAGAATAAGTTAAAAATTGGTAATTTTTTGTGATATCAAATCAGCAAAATTTCTAGGTATGATTTTGATGTTTTGTGTGTGTGTGTGTGTGTGTCCCCATATTCATATACTATGGATTTTTGCATTCAGGGCTGAATATTTTTTCCTCGGTCTTACTGGAAGATACAAATCCCATCACTGATCAGTACTTTTTTGAAGAGGGTAGGTTATCCAGTAGTCTTACCGAAAGGTCTGAGAAAATTTCAATTCTCATTCATTGCTCATTGCTGAGATTTTTCAGTACCCATTCATGATCAGATTTAATTCTTCAGTCAAGATTACTTCCACAGTGCCTTTTTCATTTTCAGTTCATCTGCTATCTGCAAGTTTCTGTAACTATTTCAGCATTCAGATCTTTCATCATGTGTAGCACTATCCAATCTACCTTGAAACTGACTAACCCAGAGAAGGACCTGCAATCTATACCCTTTCATAAATTTATTGTGATGTTTTTAAAATATCTGTGGAATTTTTCTTCAGTTTAAGAGAACTTGTTTTTGTTTCTTTTGAAAATTTACCACCCATGATTCAGACAAACAAACAGAACTCTGCACCAAAAGGAAATTTTATTACAGTCATTAAACAAACTTAATCCCAATGATTGTTTGATACAAAACTGTTGATGAGTCATGTAGCCATGTGATCCAAAAGTACAAGCTCACCAGTGTTGTCAGATGCAGAACAAAAGGAACAATTCAGTTTTCAGTTGTCAGCCCTTGTGTGGACTTATCCACAGTCCATATTAAGCTATAGGTCCTCTCTGCCACCCATTACATTTATTATTATTCTGTCTGGGAGGAAGCAGAAACCTACTACATTCATGTCACTTTGTTGTTTCCTGTGTGGGCACAGCCAGAAATGTCTAAGATCCTGTTGGATGTTAAAAAGAAAGTTATCTATATCTGTCAGTTAATATTAAACCAGTATGACAAAGACAGCTGTTCACATGCGCTACATGATTGTGTGTCCACAGAGGAATCTTTCTTGCCTGCATTTGAGCCACGAGTAGTGACTGTGGCACCTGCTGAAGAGTTCAAAGCCAATTTTGAAGTACTGGAGGAGTTAGGAAAGGGTCGCTACGGAGTGGTTCATAAGGTGCAGGAACATGCCACTGGACACAAGTATGCTGCAAAGTTTATTCGCTGCATAAAGACCAAAGACCGAGAAAAAGTTCAGGAGGAAATTGATATAATGAATGTCTTGCGGCATCCAAAACTTCTGCAGCTGGCGGCAGCTTTTGAAAGCCCTAGAGAAGTTGTCATGGTGATGGAATAGTGAGTTGACACTTTACACAAGAATACAAGTACAGTGACTATAGGATTAATATTAGACTTTTTAGGTATCTTACAACATAAAAGAACACCTAATGTCAAGGTCATGGCTGTCCATTTTTCTGCTTGTCCCTGACCATTTATCTGTACCTGTACCTTTGAACAGATTTTATTCAAATTCAGTGTATGGGATTTTGACTGCATGTCACATAATGTTATGATTTTCAAGCACATTGATCCATAATAAAGCCTATATCATGTGAGGCCATAAATACATTTCTCCATGCATTTCATAAATTCAGAAACTGGGGTAGCTCAGTTGGTATAGTGACAGGCTATTTCCTGGACGTCCAGGGTTCGATTCCCAGCAGGGGTAAGAGATTCTTTTGTATTCCACATCGTCCAGACTGGATGTGGGGCCCACCTAGCCTCTTATCTAGTGGATCCTGAGGGCAAAGTGGCCTGGGCATGAAACTGACCACTCACTTCCAACTAGTGTTGAGTTCATGAAGACATGAACCTGTACATCCACTCCCACATATGTCCTCATGGTGTGTGCTTAATTAATTAAGCACAGAGACAAATTTGCCTTAAAGTCTGGTTTAAAGAAAACCATAAAAAAATTTTCCATCTGTCCCAAAAAATATTACACAGATTTTTCTGAAATTTGATGTGTAAGATTGAAAGAACATTTTTCAGGTAGTTTTTATTTTCCACCATGTTGGTCCATAATAAAGTCCCTTTCGCATAAGGCCATAGATGTAATTTTCCATATATCCAAAGAACCTTACCACAAACATTGTTGAAGTTCAGTACAGGAGGCTTTCACTAATTTGTAATTCAGTATTCCCATTTTTAAGTAAACTTAATAAACTTCAGTGGATGCTGAGTTTTATCTTTTGGGATAGAGCCACCACTGTGATAACCTCAGATCCTCAAGGAAAGCTGTTACATTGTAGAATACACCTTGACCAGTTTTATTTACACAACACAAAGATTAGTATGCTATGCCCTTCTTGTATTTTTGTTGCTCAGTAGTCAGATTTTGATTAAATGTTATATTGGAGAACTGTATTCACTGTTCTTTTCCTAAAGAAACATGTTTGCCAGTATTCTTATGCTTGATTTAAGCCTCAGGGCTGAAACATACAATGTGCTGGGAAATATATGACTTTGACAAGGCATCTACGTGCTTCTAGAAGAAAAGTTCTGCTTTACTACAACTTTTCTAAAATGTGTTGCTATCATAACATAGGAAAGTATATCTGAAACAATTATTTAAAAGCGACTGCTTTAGAAATTATTGTAGATGTGCTCAATTTACTTGCACTTTAAAACTTCTGTAGAAGATAAGATGAAATTGAATATTTTCCCCACTGACATGCATCATTGGTAGTTTTTATTATGCATTCTCTTTTTCAGTATTTCTGGTGGGGAACTATTTGAACGTGTAGTTGCAGATGATTTTACCCTCACAGAACGAGACTGCATTTTGTTCATGAGACAGATCTGTGAAGGTGTGGATTATATGCACCAGAATTATGTTGTTCATTTGGATCTAAAGGTAATAGACAATAAATGTGACTGTATATAAAAAGAAATCAGTTAAATGATTTGTGTTATCAAGATCTCATAGTTGAAATTCAGCAACTTGTGATAATAATGGCATGAAATGGACATTTAGGACAGTTAATATTTCACTGTGTAATAAAACAATTCTGTGTTAGCAGTCTGAACTCCAGACTCATTTAAGACTTTGATATGTTCGTGATGTTATAAGTGCAATAATGCAAGTTAGGCAATATGTTTTACCCTTTTACATATTTGAGTCTACTCTTTCAGTTACGACAAACAAGTGACTATGTAATTAATTCCACATGTCACAGTCCTGTACTGAAACATTCATGGCTTTGCTAATTTTGTACTACCCATAATTCCATTTGGGGCAGGTTATCATACTCTTTAAGGTGAGGAAGATGGTCAGCTAGGAACGTGCTTTTCTGGTCCAGCCACACCCTCAGACACTTAACAGTACTATGAACAGGAGCAGGTCACTACAGAGTAAAGAAAAAAATTGGGGAGGATTCTGGTGTCAAGGGAGAACTTGAGAGGGTGCAATATAGAGTATATTTTAAGTTTTCTATGTTCCTGATGCATTTTGTGAAACAAATTAACTTCTGAAAAAGCTGGTTTGATTTCAAGAGGTTGCTGCCTGAAGGTGAGTTCTAGACAGTGTTAACCATAGGACCCCTATGGGCGTCCATGACCTGTTACATGCACAAGACAGTCTTTAGTGGAGCTTCATGGTTCTTGGCTTAACCTCACGTGTCATATCTTCGTATGAACTAAACAATATGTTTCGGTCACACACGGGCCACATCAGGTATATGTGATCCTCATAAGTCGTTATACTGTGTCAGCCCATGAGCCCTGTATGGGTAAAAACTTTTTAGTTAAACCAATTAATTTGTTAAAATGTTATTAAAACTATTACAATAACATAAAAATGGTATAAGAAGGATGGTGATGTGTGCCATGGCACTCTTCTTATGTTATGCTTTTGGTAAAAGTGTGCATTTTGTGTGCCCTGGTGCCATGCTTACATATTTATGTGTGTGCATGCGTGCGTGCGTGTGCGTGCACATGCACACACATGTTTGTATGGACAATTTAAGAAAATAATTGGTTTAAGTAACGAATTTGTAAGTGCACAGTCCTCACAGGGCAAGACTCTATGTAACAATTTATGTCACTCATATACATCTGATGATGATCCTTGTATGGTCAAAACATATCATTTAGCTAGCAACAAGACATGGAATAGGTAGTGTTTCAGCCAGGAACCAGGAAGCTGCACTGAAGGCTATGTTGTGCACATATATTATGTGATAAAACTAATGTGGCAAGGTGCTAAAATACAGTACCATTGAAAAGAGACTCCCTTGTAAGTTTTGACATGGTCTGTTCAGAAACTTATTGGTAGAAATCATACAAGTCATCAGAAATAGACTTAATGTGGATCCTTCTGTCTTAGAACTTTCACCTTTGAAGGCTATAGCATTGGACACAGCAGAGCACAAACCCACTAAATGGGTCTGATATGTCTGTGATACCTTTTGTGGTTTGGCCACGTGGACAAGCAAGATTACAGCAATTTATTCATCACCTCAGCAGCCTTAGATCTGGCATAAAATTCACAGTCAAAGTGGAAATTTTACAGATCCTCACTTGGATGTCTTTTTCATGAAGAGGTGTCCTAATTTTACCACGAAACTATACAGGAAACCTACCATGACATTATTTGCATTTCATGTCTGACCACCTGAATCACAAGAAAAGAGGTGTCATTTGCACCTAGGTCAGTACAGCCAAGGTCACTTTTTAGGATTGGCAGGATTTCAGCAGGGAAATTAGGAACATGAAACATGATTTGATACTTGATGATTACTCATAAACTTTATTCCATTACGAAGCCAGGGAGAAATAACTGTCCTTCACATCTGACATACCATGGCATGGTTGCTATCCATATGGTAGTGGTATTTCCAAAAAACTCTTATGCATTGGGAACCTGTTCAATGTTAGGACCCTTTTCAAATCTAAACATACCCTCTGTGGGACAGTCATGAAAACTGGACTTGTTAGAGATCCCCAGCAGATCAGTCAACCCAGCTAGGATACCTCTCCCATCTGGACTCCAATCTTTGAACCAGAAGTCTTAAATTACAACTCTGTCCAGTTTAGATTATATGGGAATGTTTTTTTTATGTTGTTGTTATCCAGGTGTTTTATTTATGTAGTACTTATCGTTATTGGTTTATTTGCTGTTATGTCCTCTCGTATTTGGGAAATTTCATCTGCTCAAATCTTAATCCTTTGTATTCTTTGGATCTATATGTGTATCATTTTCCTATCTGTGATTCTAAAGGTCACAAGATTATAAATTAATCTTTCATTTTATAGTATGTATATTTGTCCTTTTCAGACTCTGATTCTGAGGCTTTAGCTTCTATTTTAGTCTGGCTCTGATTGTATTGACTCTGGCTGTTACATTGTGCTAGGCCTCATGCATGTAACATATACATGTTTATCTTAACTCCTTTGGATGCTTTATGTTGTGTCTGGATTATATATCCAGCCTTAATGTTGGTTCTAGTGTCTGGATCTAGCTCTGTCAACTGAACCCAACTTAGTAGGCCTTTTACCTGAGGACAGATGCAGAGTCCAGTCTCTGAAAAATTTTAAAATATAACAACATAAAAATAAGGGAGGATTATTGCTTTCAGCTGGCTCAGAATATGACCTGTTGCCTTTTGGAGTCACAGTATTGATTCTCTAATTATAATGATTAAGAACTGTCCAAGAAAAATTTGTCCATTGAAATTATCTTTACTAGTTTTCTGCATCTGGTAGTGCTGTAGTTAATAAAATATATGATGCTTGCTTATGTAAGTTCTTCATTGTTGTTATTTATTCTCTTCTAAAGACATTAATCATATTTTCAGCCTGAAAATATAATGTGCCACACACGGACATCACACCAAATTAAGCTCATTGACTTTGGGCTAGCCCAGAAAATAAACCCAAATACTCCTGTAAGGGTTTTGTTTGGCACCCCAGAGTTTATCCCTCCAGAAATTATCAACTATGAGCCAATCGGGGTGGAATCAGACATGTGGTCTGTGGGAGTGATCTGCTATGTTCTGTAAGTATTAGCAAACATCTGACACTATTTTATACATTCCTACGTATTATGTTAATGAAAGAAAAGGCAACTTAGTTTGATTCTGATGAGTCTTAAGCATTGTGATTTGTGAAGAAAGCAGTCTTCTGGGATGTGGCACCGTGTAGATGTGTTGTTAACCGACGTTTCATAGGAACGTATCGCCTCCATCTTCAGGGTAGAAGGAAAAGTAAGAAAATCCACAAGTGAAGAGACAGTGAGAACAGTTGCAAGCAGACTAATTTTGGAAATAAACGCAGCTATATGAGAGCAGTGAAGGAAGTGGGGACAAGTCTACATGAGAAATCAGTGGAGAGGGAGAGGGGAAGGGTCTGGGACAGGAGCAAGGTTAGAGCAGGTATAGGATATTGTGTGGGGGGAGAAAGGCAAGGTTAATGGGAGGGCATTAACCCTTAAGCTGGGGCTTGCTATGCGAGTCGGTCATGGACTGCGTGGCCTTGNTAGCATAGCTACTGGCAGAGCCTCCCTTGCTGGACAGGTCAAAGGGTAGGCATCAGACGAAGAGAGACACCAAAAACCAAAAACTGATGCCAGAAGCAGCGTCATCAGCAGCGACTTGAAGCACAGAGCAAATAATGCTCAAGATGGTTCAAGTTCATATAGCAACGAGTGTGGCCAGAGTGGTTTGAACGGCTGCTGTACTGCGATGTGGAAAGCAAATGGAAAAACTACCACATTATCACTTTTCCTGGATAGTCTCTTTCTAAAAACAGAGATACCGTGTATGCAAAGATAGAGGGGCAGATAGAAGTGACCAGAACATGAGGAAGAAGACGTAAGATGATGCTGGATGACCCTGGGGACACAAGAGGCTATTTTTATTTGAAGGAGAAAGCTCTAGATCGCATCAAGTGGGGGAACTGTTTTGGAAGAGACTGTGAACCTGTCGTCTGACAGATTACTGATGATGAATATTATGTATAGGAGGTGTTATAGATTCAATTTACTAGCAACAATGTCATTTCATTGTACTGCACGATTAAAGCCATTTCCCAGTTTGCTTAATGACATAGTATTACTTATTCAAGAATTCTGTAATATTTTGGATCATTAAAGAATGCTTCCACAGGTCCCCTGGAAACTTATAACTGAATTCCTGGACTCCATGGAGCATAGTTTGTGAACTACAAAATTTTATTATTGTCAGCAACTTCGTCAACATTAATCTCATTTCTATATTAGCATTTATGAGTTCCACATTGATATGGTAGTGAAAGTTTACATTTCTTAAATTACATAGGCACCACATAATCTGTATAAGGATAAATTATAGAGATAACTGCCTAAGCCAGCCACCCATTTTTTTGTGGAATGCTATTCACCGTACTATAACATTAGTGTTCACCCAAATTTGTAATTAAGTTCTTGTTACTCAGGTTATCTGGGCTCTCTCCGTTCATGGGAGACAGCGATGCCGAAACATTTGCTAACATTACTAGAGCAGACTATGACTTTGATGATGAGGCTTTTGATGCAATTTCCCAAGATGCCAAAGATTTCATCAGCGCTCTTCTTGTAAAGAGGAAAGAGTAAGTATGTAACAAGAATGTGTAATATAGTGTAATGAGGTGCATTATTTCTATTCATCATCCAGGTCAGTTCAAGTGCGTGATTTCTTGACTACCTGAGCAGCTGTTAGCTTCTCAAGGACTCTGTTACTTGAAGCTGAGACAAGTTGTCACGCAGAAGAATTCATATAATTATAGTGAAGATATGTTCAAACCAAAATCTTTATTGTAGACATCTTTAGCCATACAAGATTTTGGAACCCTGCACTGAATGATGTCACTCTGATATCACAAGTCTGCATGACTGCCATTTTGATGTCACTGATAGCAGAACAATGTAAAGCACAAAATGTCTGCTTCCTCTAGTGGCATGATATTCCCATCAAGTTATTATTCTGAATCACAGAAACACAGGTATAAAGCAAATATGATAAAGGTACTGGAAGGTAATAACTGTGATCCTCTCTTCAGTATTGGTGAATGAGATAATTCTCATGCAGTTCGCATATGGATTGTGTGATAAAGTGTATATCACCTGATTTATGAAGGTATGCCTGTTCAGATACTTCATTGTCCATTAAGAGTTAATACTTAATTTTAAGTTGCCTAGATTTCGTCTGTTATTTTAATTTCTGTGGTCACAGGAAGAGGCTGACAGCCAGGGAGTGTCTTCATCATACATGGCTGGCACAACATGATGAGAAAATGAGTTGTGTCAGGTTAAGCACAGATAAACTGAAGAAGTTCATAATTCGCAGAAAGTGGCAGGTATGTTAAGTGTTGGTTTGTAGCAGCTGAATGTTATGTTTGTGCACTATTGCCAGGTATAGTATTTTCCATTTTCTTTTGCTAGAGTATAACCATTATACATATGTGCAGTGCTAACAGGCATATACACTATATTGGATCAAGGTTAATTGAACATTTATGTTCCCTTATACTCATGTTAGTATTTCATGCCCTAAGGAGCATTTTTCTTACTACAGCATTCTGGAATTTCTGTTTACATCAAGTAGTGCTCTGTTGGAGCAGCACATGTAATTGGATTTCTATTAAATGTAAAGGTAACTACAAAAACTTTTCAAACATGGATAATCTAACAATGATATCTTTGATTTTCTTCCTGTATAAACTCCAGAACCATTGATGTCACTCACTTTCTTGTACTGCTTCAAGGTCCTATTCATATGCATCAGAGGCTTCTTCAAGGCTTTAAAATTATGTCTCACAATGCCAGGTCTAGACTGTAGGTTGGACAGTAGGGTATCTGTACTGGAGGTCTTTTATAGGAAAGTGACCATTGCATTTGATATGGAAAAAATCTTTGTTGTGGAGTAACAGGATTGTTTTATGTTCGTCTTTTTTTGAAGGTCTGCAATCAGATCAGTTCAGAATCCATCGTGTACTGAAATGTGATAGTATTTTGAATTTTGAGTGTTATGGTAGCCAGATAATACTTAAAGAAATGAAGACACTGTGTTCTTTCCAGTGTTGGCCTTTTTCTTTAATGGGTTGAGGGTTAATTGTGATATTGATAAGTACATGTCTCATCGCATCCTCTGCATTCTCAAGCAGTCCAAGGCATCATTCCACTCCTGGCTTGCCAACTTGTGAGGAGCTACTGATACTTAACCATCTTCATGCAGAGTTGTGTAAGATGGCAACTAGCAGAACTGATGTCTCATTCTGCCTCTATGTGTATCTGTAGTTAATCATTCCAGTCATTATTCTAAGAGATTCTCTTCGCCTCTTGAATTCTGAAAACTGCTAGGAAATTGTGGCACATGAAGAAACAATGTCTTGAAACTCAAAAGACTTGCACTTTAACTGATGTTCGTTTCATGTGGAATTTTGTGTGAAAGTGCTCTCTCTCTCTCTGTCTCTTTGTCTCAAGCTTCATAGTGTCTGATGTGCTGCAGCACAGTTTCATATGTTTGAGGTTATATTATCTGACACTGGTTTTGGTGAGCTGTCATCTAATAAAACTAACAGCAAGGAATTATAGTGCTTTGAAGTTATATGTACAGATACATCAGTTTTACTCTTTCACTTCGGAGTCTTCTCTAGTGATACTGTACATACGTGTAAGAACTTTGGTCCTCATTGAGGGGTTCACTTCTGAGCAAGTACTTGTCTGGACACAGAGGAATGAGGTTCAGTTTCCGGTAAAAATAATGCTATTCAGTTTTATTTACACAGTTGCACATGTTAGAAGGGTAGAGGACGTTGTTTAAGTGTAGGCACTGTACTTTAATTACTTAATGCAGTATAATTATAGTGTCATAAATAATAATGTATTGAGTGTTGTGTGCATGTAAATAATCAGTATTTTTATTAAATATTCCTTTACATTAAAAATTCACTGAGGTCAGCCTTCTAGTCATGCAGTAAAAAAAAAAGTAAAGCTATCCCTGTAATGGGCCGTGAAGGCCCATAGGTTTGTGAGACATTGAGGGTCCCACATTATCTAGACAATCAGCTCAAAGATAGCGGTAAGGTTGTCAGTCTTACTCGCCTGCCGCGCTTTAATCCCCAGGAAAATTATTTAATTAATTCGTGGTTAGTGTAGTTGGTTGAGGGGCTATGTTACGAGCCAGATGGTCGCGGGTTCAAGTCCTGATGAGGTCTCTGGATTTTTTCAATTGACCTAATCTTTCTAGCCGCACTATGGCCCTGGGGTCGACTCAGCCTCTAACAGGAATGAGTAACAGGACTTCAGTCATGCAGTATATATTTAAAGTATTTTGGAAAAAAGTGACCATTTCATTGCAGCTATCTGTTAAATAAGTGAAATAATTGTAAATACAGACATTTCAATAAAAGAGAATGTTAGTGAAACACGGGATGTCCAGAAGTATACCATTTTTTAGTATTCTTTTGCTTTTGGTAATAATGAGTAGATTAAGTCTGTACCATTTCCTAATATCACTGGACAAACTAGATTAAATTTTGTATGTCTTATGCTTTAAAAGTTGTTTAGGAAAATGTATTTTGTTCCACATTTGCCCATTAAAATTCTTACTACATATGAGGATATATATTTTTATTTCATCAATAATTCAAGTTAGTGAGCGTTATTTCAGAACAAAAGTTTTAGGAATAATTAACTAAAAATATATTCTGAATCACATTTCCAAGGTCCAATCAATGGACTTAAAGAAATCTTGGTATGAGGGATATTTATGTAATTAACTGTCAAAATTGTGTTTTCTGTATTTTGTCTTTTTCATATATTTCCTTAATTGGCTATAACATAGGTATATGTTGCTCCCTGTAGCTTCAGTGCCCAGAAATTAAAGACATGTTAGCAGAAGTAGTCTTGTGTTCAGTATTCATTTGGTAATTATCTATCTTCAGAAATTTTTGTTACTCTTAAAAAGTATACTATGCTCCCTCAATTTCAAGGCCACCAGCAATTTTGATGCAAAAATAGTTTATTCCTTACATTTACCTGGAATTAGATGTTTTACATTGGAGAGATGTTCATGGTGATAATGAAATGAATGGCATTTGTAAAAAAGCCACCATAGTTTTAACAAATAGTGCACGTGAGTTTATGTTTGTATTCTAAACTGCATGTTTTGTGTGTGTGTTATTGTCTTCAAATAACAGAAAACTGGGAATGCCATACGTGCCCTGGGACGCATGGCCACATTATCAGCAGCTACTCGCCGCAACTCAAATGCCAGTTCTACGTCCGGCAGTCCTAGACCCAGTTTATCTGGATGCTGTGGTACTGTATCGAGGATGTCAAGTCTTAACGAGGAAGATCTGGAGGCTGCTGCAGACACTAACACCTCTAGTGACACTAACAGTGTGATTAACGGGTTCAGTGAAATCACGTTGACTAAATCCAGCCGCATGCGACTGTGCAGTGAGCGGAGTGACAGTGGTATCAGCGACTGCTCTAGCATTGCTACTCCATCCCCTCACAGCCATTGTCAGTGCCCAACAAAGCCTTTACTCAGCAAGAAATTTTCTATAACTGAGGAGATGGAAACTTGTAGTGAGAAACTGAGTGAATTGATAGTCCATGATGCATGTAAAAGCGGAAGAGTTTCTTCAGCAGTAGGCGGAAGTACTCAGTCTAGGGCCTCTCATATGGCTGTAGGATTTAGTGATAGAAATGATAGTAATAACCCAGTGTCTTGCAAGAGTGCTGTTGGTAATGTGCCTGCTTGTTCTTCTTCCTCAGCTAAATATAATGCTAAAAAGACAGACAGCTTAAGGCAGCAAAGTTCTGTGGATTCTGGTGTACATATGGACGTAGGAACATGTCCATCTCCAGACATTCTCACTGAAAAAGGCTGTGCAAGGAGGAAAGAACTGGTCCATTTCCAGGAGCAGCCAGAAAAGGACATCTGTGATACAGCTTTGCATAAAGTTAGTGGTATTGTCCAAGCAAGAAGCACAGTTTTAACAGAAGCGCAAGAAAAGGAAACTAAACCAAAGTCCACAAGTCGTAAGAAAACTCCTCTTCATCATCCACCTCCAATTTCAACTTCAAATGAACATAGCACAAATTATCAGAAGGCTATGGCATTTTGGAAACGGTAGAGTTTGTATGCTTGAGACAGAATGAATATTTTATGGGTTTTGTCTCACTGCATTAAGATTGCTACAAAACTCATTCATAAAACTACATTCATCCTCATTTCTGGCATCATCTGTATGCATTATATATTGCTCTAACCAAAATATTTATTACAAAGAACAAATTGTTTGCTTTAACATAAGCCATGATTTTTGGTAGACTATTTTTTACACAGCTTACTTGATTCCTGAATAGTTGAGGGTCAATATTTTTAACTACCTTAAAGTAAACTGAACTGATTGAAGAAATGTTTTTAGTCCCAAGAGAAAGTAGTGAAGTGAAAGAAAGTGTCATAACAGAAGTATAAAACTGTATACCACTAAACATAAACCAATATTAAAACAACCAGATTAAAGGTTTTGCCTTGTATTTTGTATATATAGTGATTAGTTTGTCCTATTAAGATATTTGAATATTTGCTCCTGTTATGTATGTGTATGTATCTACTGTTACACAGAGCTGTAATAAAATGACACTATTTACCTATGAGCTTGGTCTGGATCTACCTCATGTCCTTGGTAAGGCTACTCTAATTCAAATCCTACATTCAACAGGTATTCATGACTAGAGTAAATGACATGATGACATTTATGTTCTTCAAATTACAAATGCAGCCAATGTGAGAAAGATAAATGATATTTTCTGTTACTGGAAGTTCATTATTTTAGATAAACTGGATAATTAAGATTATGATGAAATATGTCCTTATAATAAACAATCATGAAATCTGCATGGAACTCTTCAATATTCGCTGACACTCAAATTTACTAGAAGTCAAAACTATGTAATCAATATGAAGACTTCACTGTCATTTCATACACTAAGAGAAACTGAATGTACATAACTTGCCTAATAAATAAAGTTAACTGTTACAGAGCATAACATTAAATTAATAAAACAGATGTGATTTCAGTGCAGTTTTAGCTTTTGTAGAAAGCACTGAAGCATTTGTTTCATGTATATTGATCAACAAGTATGATGACTGAGAATAAATTACATTGACAGTATGAAGAATTATATTTTAATTAAATATATATATACACAATAATTTTTATACCTATAAATTCAGGTGTGAGGAAGCTTTAATTACTATGACAAACAAGAAGCATTACTGGACTTTGCATGGTTGGAAAACCATTATTGAGTGTTCAGTAATCTTTTGCAGTGTTTAGAAAGCCGTTGTTGATTGCTAAATATACGAGTTAGGAAATGTATGAATAGCAAAACAGTAATTATTTAATTATTTTGATAACTATAACACTTAAGGAAGAAGAGCACTGGGCATGGGCTAAAATGTTTGATACTTCCTTATCACTTTTGTCTGAAATATCTCTTGTTTCAGTAAGTATCCATGAATAATTCTGTCTTTTGGGATATAATGCTGTGCTGTCTGCTGAAAGTCCGCCGATACTTCTCTTCAGCGTTCCTAGACATTTCATAAGTTTTTAGTAATTTATGGTACACAGGCCTCTTGTATAAAATCGGAAAACCCTTCCCCATGCATATTACAGAATATTACAATCATATCTAACGGGTAGACCCTTTCAGTTAAAATTCAAGCCTGAAATCACAGCCTTATGGAAAACTGTAGCAGGCGTACCATATGGAAGTGTCTTAGGACCCGTCCTATGTTATCTACACACGTGACCTCCCAACATCACAACGCAACAACTGCTTTTTTCGCCGATGATACAACAATATCTGCTAAATTTGAAGATCCAGCGACAGCCTCAGTGAAACTCGAAGCCACCATCAATAAGATTGACGATTGGGTGAAGAAATGGAGAATTAAAAGAAAGCAAAGCAAATCCACACATATTACATTCAACCTTCGCAACCAAACCTGTCTGACAGTGCAAATGGGCAATGTTGATGTACCCCAGAAAAATGAATGGGCATTCATCTTGATGGAACACTGACATGCGCATAGCATATCAAAACCAAAAGGAAACAGCTCAACCTAGAAGCGAAATAAATGCAATGGCTACTCGGAAGATCAACACTATCAACAGAAAGCAAACTCCCCATGTACAAAGCAGTACTTAAACTTATATGGGCCCACCGAATTCAGCTATGGGGGCAACCTTGAATACCAACATCGAAATCCTCCAGCGCTTTCAATCTAAGACTTTCCAATCCATTCCGAACACACCTTGGTATGTAAACAACCATAGGATCCAGGAAGATCTACAAATGAACACAGTGCTAAGTGAAATAAAAAAAGTGGAACACCAAATACTTCAGAAAATTACAAAACCACACAAATGCACTAGCAGTGAACCTACTCGATAATAGCGAAACTACCCATAGACTGAAAAGATACACCGTCCTCACTCTAGCAGACAGACCTGAGTAAGACCCAAATACAAGAATTAAAATGATACCTAAGTGAACAAAAAGAAGTATATGAGTTACGTCACTGGGCATAACTCATTCACGAGCCAGTACTTATTGAACATATACATTTATTGCAGATTATGTGTGAAAAAGATAGTGTGAATAATTATTACGTTATATGATCAAAGGTATTCTTGTAGAAGTTCTGGTAGTGTGTTCTCTTTTAAGTTTGACCTGCTGAAACAAAGTGACCAACCACAAAGCGTGATTGCCCTCCCCCTGCTGAAGTGGTCAGGAATTATCAGTTGCATCTCCATCGATCAGTTATGACTTTCTCACATATAAATGGGTGGTGTATTGTAATTGGAAGAGCCAGTGTAGCCCCATAAATAAAAAATATATGTATAAATAGAAATGTGTACGTTGAAAATGCGAGTTCTGGGATCACTAGCAAGTTACGCTTCAGCTCTTCACTCTTTCCCTCTTGCTGTATCCGCAACTGAGTGTGGGAAAATCGATTGAATCCAACCTCACATTCTGCTTAATGTGAAGATCTTCAGGATGTGACTGGTGTTTGGAATATCGTGTTCCGCCAGTTATTAATAGTGCTATGTTTATATCTTCCGGTAAACCCCATATATTTGTTCAGAATGATTTATAGCTACCTACAAATGTACATATACACAATTGTTCTTGTGCTACTCCCGCGTGCTGCTTCGAAGTACCCCCTATGGCACCCAAGCAAACATATTTTCGAGCTCCAGTACTTAAAGAATGTAGACTACTGGCCATAGACTGCACTGAAATTTTATGTTGAGTAGCGAGGGAAGTGTTCGCTATTCTACTAACTGTACGTTGTTTCGTTGCGGCTGGTGCATCCACCCCCAGTGGAACAGGCGCGAATCGAGGTTACGTCATGGCATTAGTTCGCATTTGCAGCCTCGTCTGTGAAATGCCGTTACATTCTGTACAAATGAAAGTACTAACACAGTCATGAAATTTGTGACAAAGAGTAACTGAGTGACCCAGAGAACATGGTGCACGTTCCACGGGGACAGGCAGGCTGTAGCAATCGGGGAATTACTTCAATTGTTGGACGCACTTTCGACGCATCAGCTGCAGGCAGTTCGATTTATAAGGCTACATTCTTACTTAATGGATTATGACAACAAGCCAATACACGTAAATATGTAGTATAGCAACAAACGATACAACATACAAATAAATTGCCACATTTTTAGGGGATGTGACTATAGACGGGTTATGGATTCGTGAATTGGATTTATTGACCACTTGTTTACACTACACTTTACAAATCACTGACACAAACTAGTATCCTCGGTCTATTACAGTCTCCAGTAGCCGTTTTCGGGCAACAGATTTAACACAAGAACTGTACCAGTCTGACTGAATTACACATTCCAAATATCACACGTAAAGTCTCATTTTCACAGCCGCATTCTTGCAGCTTTTTTCTTCCCAGCCTCTCATACAGAGCTCCAATGAACTGCCAACCCTCAAAGAACTCAGTCCAGTCCATTTCGAGGTCTCTGCCCAGCAACGCGTCTATACGCCACAGTATCAAAAAAAATAGAGCGATGGTTCTTGCAAGACATAAATACGCAATGCAGAGGGTTCCCTATAAATTCTTACCAGCAGGATATTCGCATTGTATGAACTATGAGGCCATATCTATGGGTATTCTTAACCTCCAGCATGAAGCAGGCAGCAATTCACGTTAATTCCACCTTGGATACGCTCTTGAACGCTGAAGATCGACGCGACATTTTCCCCCGAAACGTCGGTTGACTTTCAACCAGATACACGGTGTCCCCCCCAAAGGTAGAAGAAGCCTTCATTTCTAGGCCTCTTTGTGGAAAAATGCAGTTTTTTTTTTTTTTGCGGAAAACTCGAATGAAGAATTTGGAAGATTTAAACCTGTGCAATAAAATACACGTATATGCTACAAAAATGTGTGTGAGAACATGAACTCGATTCAGCTGGCATATGTAGAGTCTAATGGCAGGCTCTTAAGGAAGCAGGACTGAACCTCCCCCCGTTCCATGAAATCTGAATAAGTGTCAGTTGCTCGATGAATCCAGTTTACCGCGGAATTAATGCAGAAGGATTAACCACTTTTATTTTTATGCGTAATAGTAACATATTTCTTTCCATATTGAGTAAACATTCATTTCTTTTCGAAAGTATTCATAATTTTGTCTGATCTGTGATGCTACACTTTGGGACACTTCTTTATTTCTGCCAAACTTTAGTCACCTCACAGTTCCAGCACATGAAGTTCGCAGTAACCTGTCAAACAATAGAGACAACTCATCAGAACAAGGTACATAAGTATGCAGTCTACACAACAATATTCTCTGTTTAAAACAAAGTATCAACGTTTGTTTTTATTGACGCTACGTGTTGACATGATTTTCTGGTGGTAGAAGCGACTATAGTGTGGGGCGCATGCGTATCTTCTCACAAAGATTTAAAGAGATTTATCACAAAATATTTCATTTTTCCATTTTTTGCACAATTTTAATTTTTATGTTTTAATCTTTAGTCTTTATTTTTTAAATTATATTATCTAAGTATTTTAAATTTTAACTGAAGAATTCAATGTTTGCGTTTAAAAACTCTCACGAGCAAAATAGATGGAATTCAACAACTGAGACTGTTATCATTTTACCCCTGATGATGACCCGGTATAAGGGTCGAAACATGTATCGTCAATAAAAACAAATGTTGATGAAATAGTGTCTACTTTGTTTTTAAACAGAATATTGTTGTGTAGACTGCATACTTTTGTATACATTTAATATACCTTATTTACAGCACAAAGGATGCATATTATTAAGATTGACAAGAACAATTTTAAAATTTCAAGTTGAGTGTGACTGGAGTTGAGTGTCGAGGTCGACGTCCGGGGATGGCCAAGAGACTGGTGCTGTAGCCCGTCCGACCAGTGCAGGTCGTCGTCTGGGTTAAACACATTACTTGCTTCAAGACTTCTGCTCTTTCATGCAGTAAAATATGCTTCAATAAAGTGATCGACCTGTCACTTGATGACCTTTAACGGACCATCTGTGTGGCCTTGTTTAGATGTTAAAATAATTGCATGGATTATGGCTGACAATGTATTGTCCGATA